TTTCCAGAGGGGCTGTACCAGTTTACATTCCCACCAACAGTGTAGGAGGGTGCCCGTTTCTCCACATCCTCGCCAGCATCTAGAGTTCTCTGATTTGCTCATTTTAGCCACTCTGACTGGCGTGAGGTGGTATCTCAGTGTGGTTTTGATTTGTATTTCCCTGATGAGGAGGGATGCTGAGCATCGTTTCATGTGTCTGTTGGCCATCTGGATGTCCTCTTTGGAGAAGTGTCTGTTCATGTCTTCTGCCCATTTCTTCACTGGGTTGTTTGTTTTTCGGGCGTGTAGTTTGGTGAGTTCCTTATAGATTCTGGATATTAACCCTTTATCTGATATGTCATTTGCAACTATCTTTTCCCATTCCGTTGGTTGCCTATTAATTTTCTGGGTTGTTTCCTTGGCTGTGCAGAAGCTTTTAATCTTGATGAGGTCCCAACAATTTATTTTTGCTCTTGATTCCCTTGCTTTTGGGGATGTGTCAAGTAAGAAGTTGCTGCGGTGGAGGTCAAGGAGGTTGTTTCCTGCTTTCTCCTCTAGGGTGTTGATAGTTTCCTGTCTCACATTCAGGTCCTTTATCCATTTTGAGTTTATTTTTGTGCATGGTGTGAGAAAATGATCTAGTTTCATTCTTCTGCATGTTGCTATCCAGTTCTCCCAACACCATCTGTTAAAAAGGCTGTCTTTTTTCCATTGGATATTCTTTCCTGCTTGTGACAGGAATGTCTTAATCAAACTTTCCTGTGGCTTCATCCTTCAGGTAGCTGTCAACCTACCCACCTAGCCTTTGTGTACTTATCGCTTTCCAACCAAGGTTTTTCTAGCTTTTCGTCTCTTTTCAGAGCTATTCAGTATCCTTCTCTATTAGTGAGGAAACAGAGTAGGAAAACCAAAAATAAATTGCTTAAATAAGCTGAAAGTTAAGGGCACCGAGGTGGCTCAGTCAGTTAAGTGTCCGACTTCGGCTCAGGTCATGATCTCACAGTTCATAGGTTTGAGCCCCCATCAGGCTCTTTACTGACAGCTTGGAGCCTGCTTCAAATTTTGTGCCTCCCTCTCTGTCTGCCCCTCCTTTGCTCATGCTCTCTCTCTGTGTCAAAAATAAGTAAACATTAAAAGAAATTTTTTAAAAGATAAGCTGAAAGTTAATTTCTCCCTCATGAAATATTCCAGAGGCAAATGAGCAAGTAATATTGGTTACTAAAGTTATTGCCACCTACCACCATTTGGAAAGATCTCAATAATCTAAAAGTTCCACACAACAATTCCACTTAGGTCCTATTGACCTGAACTTAGTACAACAGCTATACTAGCTGCCAGAAAGGCTGAGAAATGTGCAATGTACCTGGAAGGCCATGTGCTGAGCTAAAAACTCGGCGAATTCTATTACTAAAAAGAAGGGAAGAATGAATTCTCAGAGACAATGGTCTCTGCCATACTTTCCAAAAACTGCCTTTTCTGCTCTAGTAAGCCAGAACTGTTTCTGCTTATAATCACAGACTTCCAGTGATTCAGATTTTGATTAATTTATATAAAAGAGAGAAACTTGGAACCACTCTAATTAGGGAGTTGATGGACTGGGCGGAATGGGGAACAAAGAACACCACACCTTGGAGGCTGCTTTGAAAATTAATGTTCTACTGTATTTTCTACATATGAACATAAACTCGATTTGTTATATCATGATTCTGATGTCTTTTAAAAATTCCTCATCTGTCCCAATGTTTGGAAGCCATCTTAAAATAAAACTGCTTTTTAAAGTTGCCTTTTCCCCAACTTATTAAGACTTAAACATATACTTTATTGAGTGAAAATCATCACAGAAGCAGATGAGCCCTCAGAGGCCCCTATCCCTTAAGAAATCTATTTACTGTGTATATATCACCTTTGACAACTGTATATTACGACAAAAGTATACAATATACCACAAACTTGCGTGCTCTTCAACATGCTACTTATACTTAGCATTTTCTATAATCTTTACTATTTCAGCTTTTGGTTTTTGAAAGTGCATTTTACAGGAAAGTGGGGGACAGTTGACATTGATAGTGCCATCTACTGTTAAAACAGAGTCTTGCGTAATTTGGAAAAATTCCTCAAACAGTAAAAAGATTATAGCAGATGATTAAGAAACAAAGAAGAGAAAATTAAGGGAAGAAAAAGTATGGTGATGGCTGAGCAGAAAAGTCTTAGGAGGTGCATATAAAATACTAAGTTAGAAAGTAAGCAGACATGAAGACCAGGTGGGATAAGCACTAGAGAAACGTTAGGAAGGGAATCAAAGGGGCGCCTGGGTGGCTCAGTTGGTTGGGCAGCCGACTTTGGCTCAGGTCACGATCTCATGGTTCGTGGGTTTGAGCCCGACGTCGGGCCCTGTGCTAACAGCCAGCTCAGAGCCTGGAGCCTGCTTCAGATTCTGTGTCTCCCTCTCTCTCTGACCCTCCTCTGCTCATGCTGTCTCTCTCTCTCTCAGAAATAAATAAAATGTTTAAAAAAAAAAAAAAAGGGAAGGGAATCAAAGACTTAACATAAGCTGGGCTTTCCCTCTGCAGTTGTCCTCTTTATAAAATCTCTGTTTCTAGAAAGCAACACTCTTTTTTGTATACTAGCATAGAGCCAAACAATAGTAAAATTAACTAACATAAAAGGATAAAATGAGGGTAGCAATAATCTGTTATTTTTAACCCAAAGAATTCCAATTACAAATTACAAAAAACTGCCAGATTTTGAATCTCACATATTGCCTCGTCAGCTCTCATTTTTAAATCTCAAATTCTTTGATCACTCCCCAGATGTCCTAGAAACAAATTTCTCCCTCCCTCCCTCCCTCTCCCTCCTTCCTTCTCTCTCATTTTCCCCTCAATGATTCCTCCTCATTCTATATATCTGAAATAGAAACATAATTTTTCCTCTAACAGTTTCTGGTATTATCTCAGCTAAAGTAAGCTATGCTTCCTTAAATACAGAATCAAGGATCAGGTTTGAAGCTCAAAGGAACCAATCTGCATCATCTGTCTTGAAAAAAAACACAGTATCACTTTCACTAAGCCCTCCACCCTCAAAACATTCACATCAATTCAGAGATCAATTCTTTAACTATTAAGGATAATGGTATAAAAATATGTCTTATTTCTGTACAACATTTTATAATTTTTTAAAAAGATATATAAAAATATATACATGTGTATGTGTACATACATATACACTATTCATATTATAAGTGCTTTAAAAGTGAACATGTCCAATATTTGCTTAAAAGTGAAGGGGTTTTTTTGACATGAGTTACTACTGACATGAATAATGAAGTGTGAAAGGCTAACAAAAGCCAGAAAATTAAAAGATAACATTTGAACCAGATATTATATGTCCCCAGAAAATAAAGCATTTTGAAGAAGGGCTGATTTAAAAAAAGAATAAAACATGGACAGAGATGTTCACAGAGAAAAGCGTACAAATGTATTCCTCTTCTGCTTTCAAAACTGTTGAAATGAGTGTAGAAGAAAGATCACAAATTATTAAAATAGCCATTTAATAAAATACATGCTCCTATACTTAAAGAACATAGAGAAAACTGTATCTGTCATAATAAATAATCAAATTCAATTTAGTAAGAAATCACTGGTATTTTGTGCCAGAGTAATTTTTTTAATGAGGTAACATGAGTTTGAGATGGGCATAACTTAATAATAAAACAAAACATAAGAGACTCTTAAATATGGAGAACAGAGGGTTACGGGAGGGGTGTGGGGGGGGTGGGCTAAATGGGTGGGGGGCATTAAGGAATCTACTACAGAAATCACTATTGCACTATATGCTAACTTGGGTGTAAATTAAAAAAAAGAAATGAAGAAAAAGAAAAAGTCATCTAAAGAATGATGAATACCGGGGCGCCTGGGTAGCTTAGTCGGTTAAGCATCCGACTTTCGCTTAGGTCATGATCTCGTGGTTCGTGGGTTTGAGCTCCGCGTCGGGCTCTGTGCTGACTGCCAGCTCAGAGCCTGGAGCCTGTTTCAGAGTCTGTGTCTCCCTCTCTCTCTGACCCTCCCCTGCTCACACCGTCTCTCTCTCTTTCTCTCTCCTAGAAATAAATAAAAATATTAAAAAAAAAAAAAAGAATGATGACTACAACTATATAAAGAGCATGTTCTCTTTGGTTTCTCATTTAGATGTGACAGGAGCTACTGCTACACTGTACTGTGATGACACACTATCGTGTGATTTTAGATTACTTATTTGAGTCAGAGTTATCTCAACCAACAGGATTAATCTGCTGGCACAAAGTAAACTCTCCATGTGTAAATACAATTAGCACAAAGTAAGCTCTGGAGAGGTAAATATATGGATAACTGGATGCATCTCTTCTTTTAATTCCACAATGACAAAATATACCCAAAATATACCCAAATATTTAAGTAAGCTAAAACACTTCAATGTAGTCTAAAATTAATACGTAATCACAGATATTTATAAAAACTGTTTAGAAATTCTTCCCTAGGAATCTTACTTTTACAATAAGCAGTTGAAATAACTAGTCTTCTTTCAACACTTTTAAAAATATTCTTTTAAAAATAGCCACCAGAGGTCAGTCTTTCCCAAGAAATAAGTTTCACAAACTACAGTACCAAGCATGATGAGCATTTCTGCAGGACACTGCGCTACCCCTTAGAAGTCAAATGTGAATGCACCACACATTATATGCAGTCAGGTCATCAAATCTTTCAGGATTCCACAAAAAATTACAGTAGATCATACTGATCACACACCCACAATTTAAAAAGCTCTCCATGTATAACTTCATTTGATTCTCAAAACGGTGTACACAAAATCTTTACCATTCTACTTGTGAAGAAATAAACTAAGAAATTGATTGCTCATTTGAAAATTCTAAAAAAATACGTGAGATTTGGGTGTGCAAACTACAGCAAAACAAATGTAAAATTTCTTTTAACCTTATCAGATATATGAATCAATGTTTCAAAAGCTATCACGCCACACCTGCTTACCTTGCCAACTATCATTGCAGACACACAACTTCTCTCCTGTTAGGTCGCAGTAACCATGATCTGGACTGCCACAGTTGGCTTTACAGTAGGGAATATCACAGGCTTCACCTTTCCAGTATTTGTCACATTCACAGTACACCTGACTCGGAACAGAGATACTGGTTGTACACTTCCCATGACCAGAGCAATTGTTCGGACAAGAATTGATTCTGTAAAATATAATCCATATATATTCAAATTCAAGGGAATTTAAAAATAATTTTGGTTGATATTTTGTAAACTTTTTCTATTTAACACAATTATGCTCTATTACTCTATTTAATGATTTATTTAACACAATTTCACAACGTTATTTCAATTCTTTACTCTGTACCCTTTTATCCTTAATGCAATTCAGGTAATATTTATTTCCAACAGGGTGCCTGGGTGGCTCAGTCAGTTAGGCATCTGACTTCAGCTCAGGTCATGATCTCAAAGTTAATGACTTGGAGCCCTATGTCAGGCTCTGTGCTGACAGCTTGGAGCTTGGAGCCTGTTTCAGATTCTGTGTCTCCCTCTCTCTCTGCCCCTTACCTGGTAGCATTCTCACACTGGCTCCCTCTCTCTCTCCTTTTCTCTCTCTCAAAAATAAATAAACATTAAACATTTTTAACGTTAAAAAAAATATTTATTTGCAATTGACCTTAATTCATTCAAAGAGTTTACTTTGCTACCAAGACTTCAAACTTCCAAAAACTACATACTCAGCATTTACAGAATCTATACAGTTCTAAGCACAATGTTTTATAAAGACAAGTACTGAAATGTTTTGAACACACAATTTTACAGAAAAAAATTAAATTCATGAATACCTGAAACTACATGAAAAGCCAAGATGTAACCTGATTATATAATAATATTTAAATACCATGCTATCACCTATACACTGTCACAGACAAAAAGGGATGTTTATAAAGTTTTGTTTTCAAGCCCTTTAACCAATTATATTCTACTATATATATTTATTCTTTCTTGCATACATACTCGAGGTAAATGAATCCTATAACAACTTGCTGATTTTAAATTCTAACATTCTAAAGATACTTAAGAGTATTTTTTTCGTGGTGGAAAATTCTCTGGTTATAGTCTACATTCCTGAAGAAAAGGGGAAAAAGTGTATCGGGTTCCTATATGGCTATTCCTGTGAAAGCATCTGGAAGCATCTCTGGCTCCTTCACTTCACCCGTGGGATCTCCCAATATAAAAACTTATAAAGTATCAGACACATAATAAATTTCTTAATAAAAATTACTTTTCTATTTAAATGAGGAGACACTGGTATTATCCACTTATATTAAGCCTAAATTTCCTCATATGTAAAATGGGAAAAATGCCCATTTAATGGAATTGTTGTAAAGAGACTCAAAAACCATAATGGATATAAAGTATCCAGTACAGCTCTGGAAAGCAGAAGGGCTACACAAACTTAGTTCACAAACCCAACTTAGAATTAGGAGTAAAACACCTTCAAGCAGAGACTTGGATGAGGACTTCCTCTAATCCCACACCTGCTGCTACAAGTAAGGTTACACTCGTTTGTACTTGTTTACTTAATCATTTACCAACAGTTTTAAATTTCATAAATAACTGTCAACCAAACTTGCCATTATAATGTACTGAGACTTAGAAATTATCCCAACACAGGCTCAGATAGTCCTTTTAGGCCTATTATTAAGATTTTATGTTACTTAGGATGAGATCCTACAATTCTGAAATGTAACCTACTAAGCTACTCATATAGAAGACATTTATAAAAACAAATTCTTTGAAGTCAAATTATAACAACCATTATAATATGAAATTTTTTTAAATACTTACGAATAAAAAATGTTGAAACCAGTTAGATTATATGCAGCATCACTAAAAAAATGTAACAGTGCATAGCCAGATGTGGTAACAACTTCAGGCACAGTTTCATTGCCCCTGACTTCAGGGACTATCAAACCACTGTAAGAGAGCGAAATTGAATGCTGTGCATATTAATATACATAGGACTACTAATCACATAAAATGTACTCAAAACTATTCTTGTCGTGATCACTAAATATCTATAACAGAATAAGCAACTCGAAGGATTAAGTCGAAAACAAGGCCCTGTCCATTTTTCACCCACTTTGCCCTCCTATTGCTGTCAGTGAATGAACACATGCTTTCATACCATCACAGTCCGTTTCTTCCTTCACACCATTTGGACAGCAATATCCGATTTCTGCCTTTTATCCTGCTTCCATCCAACTGTTACAATACTAGAGGGTGCTCTCTTAACTCGTGTGTGAGCCTTCACTTAAATCGCCTTTGCTTTTCCCTCTGCTTACATTCTGATAAAGCTACAAGAACACTCCATATTTAGCTAAGCAATTACAAGGACATTCTAATTAAACTTGTATACTTCCAGTACACTAATATAGGTATTTTAGGTCATCTAAAAATATATACTATTTATGTTTCTTTCAAAATCTGTATACTTAAACAAATTATATTAATATTCCAAAAGACACTTAAGCCTATATGCACACAAAAGAAAACTAACAGTGGGGGGTAGGAGGTGGCAGGCAGCAGATATAAATGTGCAAGAGTTCTAAGTTAGTAACCAGGTAGTACTGGTACTTTTCCCTTTTTAAATCTCCTCATTGATGAGGAAAAATTACAGATCTTCCTTTACTTGTACCATACTATCCTCTTAAATCTGCAAAAACATGCAATATGAGAAAAGAAACTGCTAACAACAAATGACGTTACTCAGAATAGCCCATTGCCTCAGGCACGGCTCAGTTTATGTGTAGGCATCACTCAGGCCCTGAACTCACTCATTCAAATCTTATTTGACAGAACAAAATGATATATAATAGTCAAATAACTTATTTTACATATTCTCCAAGCAAACAAAAAGTAATCAAATCTTGATTCTAATTATTACTGCATCTACTAACTTGTGTTTATAAAGGAACAAAAAATTTTAAAAGGAGACTGTCAAAAGAATTCAAATTCTGTAATATCAGTCTTAGATATATTTTTCACTACAGTGAGATTACATCAAGTGAGTACATTACTAAAAATAATATTCCTAGGTCTTTATAACATATATAATTAATCTCTCTGAAACAAGGAACAGAATTGTTCACTTGCTTACTCATTTTTATGTGTTTAAGAATAGTTTATTTAAAGAATAAAAGTGTTTTAAATAAAGTCTTTATTTTTAAAAATAAACTTTAAAAAAGAGGTTTCTACACTATGCATGACACATCAAGCAATTTGGACCAAGTAACCCTCTCACTGAAGTCAACTAGAAAAATGACAAATTACATAAAAACAAAAATATGTTTTATGATACTGGAGAACTAAGAAGATGATGAGGCCAGGCATTCGGGCCATTTCTGCTTAAGGGCATTTGCAGATTTCAAAGTTGGAGATAAGGTTTGAATGGCTAAGAAACTGGGTTGTTTTAGAGAACTAAGAAAACAAAAAGTAGAACCCAGGGTCCTTGCTCTGACCTGGGACCCCAAAGACTATGAGTAAAAGTGAACTTGTAAAAAATAGGCCCTCCAGGGCCTGCTAGTGTTCCCAGGCACACACTATAGGAATATATTATCTTTCTAAGCCTCAAATTATTAGTTCTACATACGATTTTACAAACATGACATCCAGCACACAATAAAAAAATAACACTGCTCTATTACAATCCACTCTTCACATTCTAAAAGTCTGGCCTATAGAATAAAATACAATTTCCTTAGTGTGGTATGCAAGAAAGCAATACCACAGTGATTAAGGGATTATAAAACCTGAGTTCATATTCTGACTATATTACTTACTAGCAAGGCAACTTGGAGCCACTCAGTGAATCTCTTTGTGCCTCAATTCCCCATTTATAACTTACAAACTCCATGGCAACAATAATCTCTAACTAAAGGGGTATTATGAGGATTAAATGAGTAAGTATATATAATGAAGTCTTGCATACTGCCTGGCACATGATAAGCATTCAGTACATGTACCAATTACTGTTTATTAGGTAATCTGGCTCCTGCCTATCCCTTTTCATTTCCTATGATCAAATTACTCATAACTACTTATATTAGTCCAAAATACAATGCTGTTTAATATGTCTATGCCTTTGTACATGTTTTTCTCTACCAAGAATGTCCTGCCATACCCCCACACTTTGCCTACCACTCTTCATCATGAAGATACATTACTTCTGAAAACAGAACTCTTTTTATAACTTGATTATAATACTCATTGTTCCGGTTAAAAAAAATAAAATCTGTGTGCACGCCACCACCAGTGCCTAACTACTGTGTACTGATGTAGCCTCCAAATCCTTGGAATTTCCCAAATGATAGAAGTGTCTCTTATGCATGGGGAATTTTCATCATTTATGTTAATGAGTGACTCAGGATAGGAACTGGCCACACCATAAAGACCAATCATGCAATTAAAGGGTTGGGACCTTGAGCCACAATCAATCAATCAAATTTCCAGAGAGAGGAAGGGGACTAGAGACAGAGTTCGAGCCTGTGGCCAATGATTCAATCAATCATGCCTACATAATGAAACCCCAGCAAAAACTCTGGGCACCTACAGCTCAGATGATCTTCCCAGATAGTGATGGGAAGGTAACACATCCCAAAAACAAAGCTGTGTTTATGATCCTCTCAGACCTCATTCTATACATCTCTTCATTTGGCTGGTCCTGATTTTTATCCTTTATCATAAAACTATACTCATAGGAACAGTGTTTTCCTGAGTTCTGTGAGTCATTCTAGTGAATTATTGAACCTGAAGAGGTGGCGGGCACCCCTAAATCTGTAGCCAGCTGGTCAGAAGTGTGCATGGCCTGGGGACCTCTGAACTTGTAGCTGGTGTCTCAACTAAGAGCAGTTCTATGAAGGGCTATGCACTCAGTCTATGAAGTGTGGCCCAGCTCTAGGTATCCGGTATGTGAAATCACTGCAATAGCCTAATCTTATTCTTACTATATCCTCCAGGCTTATGATAGTCTCTGGAATTGAGTTATCAAATGTTTATTGAGTAATATATACTTATAAAATTAGAATAATTCAAACACTTAGACTCTGAACTCGTAATGTTACAGGCTTTTAGGTTAGGAGATGGCCACATTCTAATCCTGATTCCACCATCTATTAGTAAAACAACTTCTCTGACTCTTAATTTTCTCAGCTATAAAATGGGGATATTAGTACTTCCTCCACAGATCCTTTTGAGAATTCAATGACATTTAACTTGGCCTAGTACATTGATTAGCATCAAATGGATACTCAATAAACATCTTTCAATCTCCTTCAACATAGCTAATAGGAACACTTGCCAATGAAAAGTCACTGGCTCCATCTTCATAGTCATATAGTAAATCCCAACCTCCTAATTATCTTACAAAAGTTTCCTTTAGTGTCAAAAAAGCACTGGTGTTAATGGATCACTGTTAATCAATGCAAAGTCATTATAACTACTAGGAAAACAAATGAGAAGGCATACATCTAAATGATGGTCAGTCTACAGTGACATAATAGAATAATGGTAGCAGAATAAAATCTAAATTGCTAAAAATAAACATATTAACCCAGAATCTTACCTAATTGTTACAATCAATTATCCTACAATATAATTATCCTACAATATAATTATTCATAAGACTCTACTCCATTTTCTATCTATTGTCCTTGGACAAAAGGCCTACTTGTGGCAACCCTTAAAGTAATTTTCAAACAATTGAAAAATTAAATTCTGAAAGTATTTACAGCAATAACAATATTACAGACTGTGTCTAAGACACTAAAGAGTCACGAAATATTCATTCAGAAATATAAGACTTTATGTCTCTATCCAAAAAATAATAGTTCACATTCCTTGTAAACAGAATATCTGCAACATAAATAGCAAAAAGAAAAAACAAAATTAAAGAAAAAACTAAAGGGAACAATAAGCTTGTATAATGTATTCAAAATTTTTTAAAAGATAGAACATGTAAGCAATACTATGGAAATAACCAATATAAGGAATAATATAACCAGTAACTCTGGTCAACAATCATGTTAGTTAAATTATACACAAAATCAAGATTACATGATCCTAATTTTTCCTGTGTCTAATATATTTTCTCCTATTCATAAAACATTTTATAATAATTTGTATATATACATACATAGAAAAGATTTTTAAACTGATATTGAAAATGCTGTAATTTTAAAATTAAGTCTGACTACCTAACAATAAATATTTTGAAACAATCAAAATTCCCAAATTTTGAGAACTGCAAGAAACACACTCTTAATTAGAACATTACATAAAGTATAATTTAACCTTCTGTACAGAACTGAAAATTTTCTCATTTCACTATAATAGACAACTATAAAAAATATATACATTTGTCTTTTATTTCTTTATCACTTAGAACTCACATTAATCTATATAATAGGTAGTTCTGAAAACATATTCAAATTGCTTTAAAAGAGTAAACTATATATGGCAGAATAAAGAAAACTTATCAAGAATTTCTGAACAAGTACTTATCTTTACTAAATCAACATTTACATTATTATATACATCTAAGTTGACAGTCACAGTATGCAACATATTATAATCATCCATAACTCTGCTGAATTTATTTTAAAGCACAGAGCAGTATATTTAAAATTTTTAAATTACAGTTACTTTTCTACAACTGACTATAAGTTTATCAAACAGAATTACTCACCTAAGAACAGCTATCAAAGGGGCATATATTGAATCTCCATCATAAACATACATATGATCCCAGCTACATTCTGTTGCAAAATGATTGAATCTTAATCTTAACACTGCATTTGGACTGGAAAAAAATATTAAAATATGTTTAAATTAATATGCAATATTCAAAGCACAGTCCAAAAACATTTTTAACAGAGTGCTGTATAAAAAAACCTATTTACAGAAAACTTTCTATACATTCTTAGGTCACCAGTGTCAAAAAAGATTGATAAAGAGTCACATCTAAATTGTAAAAATGATGAGCACCTGGCTGGCTCAGTCAGAAGAGCATTCGACTCTTGATCTCAGGGCCATGAGTTCGAGCCCCACGTGGGGTGTAGAAATTACTTAAATAAAGCTTTAAAAATAAATAAATAAATAAATTTCAAAAATAGCATACAACTTCAAAATCTATTAATAGGCTATATATATAAATCACCATTTTCTAAAACTTTAGTCAGCAGTAAATGTTCTAGTGTCTTGAGTAAGGTGGACATTACATAGATTTTATGCATTGACACTTTATTGAACTGTAACTTAATATGCATTTTACTGTACACAAATTATACTTAAATAAAGTTGATTCCTAAAATTCAACACTCAAAAAGTTAATGATTCATTTCTACACAATCCTTATTAACTAAAGGCCCCAATAGGGTCTTGAAATTTTAATCAAAAGGTCTCAATATACTATTAAATAAAAATGAAAAGAAAATTGGGGAGGGGGGGGCACCTGGCTGGCTCAGATGGTAGAGCATGAGACCCTTGAGTTTGGGGTTATGAGCTCAAGTGCAACACTGAGCTTACTTTAAAAAAACAAAAAACAAATACAAATAAACAAAATGAGAGCATAGATGCACAGAGAATAACTTTTAAGTTCTAAAAAAAACTTTCTAAATAACCCTCCCCCCAAAAAATTTTCCAAATCATAAAATGGTTCGAAAATAACTTCTATCAATTCATTCATGATCTATTCACAATACGTTTAAATAGATCAATTCAATCTTAAGCCCGAATTACTGAAAAATACTATAAAAGGATAATTAACTCTCTCCTACAAAATGTTCTTTTTTTAAAACCCTTATAACTACAATGCTGAATAGTATGAACCAATGGCATGATTCCAAATGGAATATTCTTATACTTTCTATGGCACCTTCAAATTCCACAGTAAGATGTTTGAAGCAAGTCAAAATGCCTACTTGAGTTACTGCCACACTAACATAACTCAAAAATAAAATATATGTAACAAACTATTATCATAAGTAGAGGGGTACTAGAATTTATATTAAATGTGATATCTAAAAGTTGCAAATCTCACTTAAAAATATCATGAATAATAACCGAATAAACTATTAGCAATTGAATAACCTATATTACAAAATTATACTTTAAAATAATGTTTAATATTTATATGATCACCTTCTTTATAGTTTCAGAATAAAATAATTCAAATTATATACTTACTAGCCTTCAATTAGCCATGTACATTTAGTTTTATATTTATAATTAATTGGACCATCTGTTAAATATCCAGAAGGTTCGGTTAACCTAGAAAACAAAATCATGAAAACAATTACCTTAAAGTAACTTTAAGACATATAGTAGCATAAGAAAATTAAAAAGACATTAAATCAAAGAAATGGGGAGTAGCATTTTCTAATAGGGAAAAATTATTTACAAATTAGGAAATTTTTCAAATTGCTATATATCTCTCTACATCTTGAAAGAATTTATTTTGTATTTCTTTAAATCTTGACATGTTTTGACTTTCATTTTACACAGTAAGAACACAGCTGAGCCTGGGTAGCTCAGTCTGTTAAATGTCTGACTTCAACTCAGGTCATGACCTCACAGTTCATGAGTTCAAGCCCTACATGGGGCTCTCTGCTGTCAGCACAGAGCCCGCTTCGGATCCTCTGTCTCCCTCTCTGCTCCACCCCACTCACATTCTCTCTAAAGTAAACAAATATTTTTTTTTAAACAAACACATTGAAAGATTGAATACTGTGATGATGGGTTTATTCTGGATGCAAAACAGATGTTAAATTGCCTCCGTACAAAAATAAAGTAGAAGCAAAAGTAGGGAGGTCAAATGCACTTTAAAAGACATACATCAATGAACTGGAGCAACAGTGTTATGTACATACTACTTTCAGAGTTACACTGTTAGCTATATTTGATTTTGGTTTTTGTTTTGTTTTTTAGTTCTCATTCATTCTAAAATAAGTTATTTATTTATTCTAATTTGAGTAAACACACAATATTATATTCGTTTCAGGTATACAAATCCATGATTTAAAAAGTCTATACACTATGCTATATTCACCACCAGTACAGCTACCATCTGTCACTATATTTGTTTCTCATGTACCAGGCCTGCTGAGGTAGCTGTCACCAGATTTTACTGAGTTTGACTACCTGTTTTTATTATCATTTTCTCTTGTCTACCTTAGACCTAGTCCACGAACTCCATTTTTAAAATAGGATAAATCAAAGGTTTTACAATTATCTTCTATTTAAAACATAAAAAAGAAAAAGACAATTAGAAAAATTTCAGTTTTTAGGGGTGCCTGAGTGGCTCAGAGGATTGAGCATCCAACTCTTGACTTCAGCTCAAGTCATGATCCCAGGGTTGCGGGATGGAGCCCCACACTAAGCGTGGAGCCTACTTAAGATTCTCATTCTCCCTTCCTCTATCCCTCTCTCCCTCTGCCTCTGTTTCCAACTCACAGTCTGTCTAAAATTTTTTTAAAAATTTTAAGAAATATTTCAGTTTTAAGAATTTAAAAATATTTGAAACAAGATCTCAATCCTACTTCATTTTGATCTCCTTAGCTCCACCCCAATTGTTTCATCCACAAAAGACCATATTTTAAATAATCAATAATCAAGATATCTTCCCATTTAGCCTTTATATATTTATATATACAAACATATACACATACACATACAGGAGGGATTTTCAGTCTTTATATATTCACTTATACATAAACACATATATTATACATAATATACACACATGCACATAGATCTCAGGGTCATTACCTAGTTTTAAATAAATTAAATTTTCCTTACAGTAAAGAGTCTTAAATACACTAGGAAAAAAAAAAGTTTCATTTGCCTAAATCACAGTTAACAGAAACGTCAGTCAAAAAGAATGTTATTTGTAAGTCTTTCATAATCCCTGCAAATTACTTTAGGTAATAAACGGGCTACTTTATACTTGGAAAAGTTTTATAAGAACAAATTCCAATATTCTCTTAAATTTTTTTAATGTTTTATTTATTTCTGAGAGAGAGAGACAGCGTGAGCAGAGGAGGGTCAGAGAGAGAGGAAGATACAGAATCTGAAACAGGCTCCAGGTTCTGAGCTAGCTGTCAGCACAGAGTCCAACGTGGGGCTCGAACCCACGAACTGTGAGATCATGAACTGAGCCAAAGTCGGACGATTAACTGACTGAGCCACCTAAGGCGTCCCTAAATTCCAATATTCTCAAATTAATGTAATAAATTGAGCATTTTTCATGTGTCAGGATCTACTCGAAGTGCATAATATGATACCTCATTTAAAAATCTCAAAAACTTTATGAAGCTATAATTATTAATTCCATACTACAGATGAGAAAACTGAGGCACATTTTAAAGAACAAGTTAAAAAAAACTTGTCCTAATTTTTTATTTTCAACAATACTAGAGAAGGTAATTCAGATAAACCCTGTGCTGTAAACCACTTTAAAAAGCTAAGAAATAATTTTAAAATCTTAAAAGCATCTTATAAGTAACAAAATGGTAACATCTACCAACCCAAGACCCAGAAGTTGCAAATCCTATAAAAGGAGGCAGGCATTCAGAGCTGTCTTTGCTCTGGAGAGACTTGTCTACTGAGAAGATAGTATCAGGAGGCTTTTGGCAACCTGATAGAGGGAAGGGGACAAAAACTGAAGGCAATGGCTCACGAAAGGTAGAGGCTCAAACAATATGGCACTTTCAATTGAGATGCAATGACCTGTTACTAGGGGAAAAGTATATCAGAAATAAACCAGCTGCAACATGGACTGCAGCCTAGCCTTGAGTCACCTGGGTGTTGGAAAAGCCCAAGACCTACAGCAGATACTGGAACCACCAGGGTGTCAAAACTCCTAACAGAAGACACAAAATTATCCTCCAGGAAAGCTGACATTTTTCCAGGCCTCTAATTATTTCTTCCAATAATTTTTCAAAAAAGATGTCTAGCATGATTAAAGATAAGACATATGAAGATGCAAGACAACAAAATAAGAACCAAAAGACAACAAGAAAGAGACCTGAAGATATTTCAATTACAGAGATTATCAGATGTATCCTATAAAACCAATATGCTTTACTAAATTCGAAAGACAATATTCTGGTTTCTCCTCAGATCGTGTAAGTCTTTCCCCTTTTACTAAATTCAAAAGACAAAAGACAAGACTTAAAAGTTTGGCAGTTAATTTAAAACTATCAAAAGTAATTTTGATGGTAATTTTGATGCACAGGTTTACAGCACATTCAAACACAGCTAAAGCAGGATGACAGATCGAAAAAACAGGCCCATAAAAAATATCCAAACTTCAGCAGGAATTCAGAATTCAGCCCACTGGCTGTGTCACCCCACCAGGTGAAACTCCACCATGTTGAGATTCTAGCTGAGAGCAGGGGACACAAAAATAGGGAGTGGAAGAACAAACCCACAGATATCAATTATCATCTTGTAACAAATTATAGAAACGAAGATCATAAGAGCTTTGCATAGTTTCAATTTGCTTTTTAATGTGTAGATTTTCTCTCCTTTGCATGTTTATTTTACATACAAGTTGTAAGTTAACTTGACAATTTACACTTTAGATAATGGCATATGCAGTATGACTATGACCAAATATGAAGAGTAATTAATACAACCAATCTTAGATACAATGGTTCTTGGAACTGCATATTTCCTTCCTCATTTTGAACAAAGGGTGAAAACTTCAGTTAAAAGACGTCTATCTTCTTAGAAATACAGTGTTACTTGGTTCTTGGGGAATTCATGTATGTGTAGAAGGAAGTATAAAGAAGATGAATAATCAAAGGGTAGACTGTACAATTATCCATTGTCTCTCATCTCAAAATCCACACTGCCTGCTCTGTGAGAATGGATCTGGGCCCTTTAAATATTTTTCTTTGTCAGATGGCACAATGTTAAGCTGGCATACTTTGTCAACAGAGTGCACTAGAGAGATGGCAGGAGAAAAGAGTTTTGCTTCGTGGTTCCAACGTACTTACTTACTCAACAAGCTGCTGCAGCCTGGTTTCTCCAGGACGAGATCCTACAGTACACAATGGCCCACAACCCAGCCACCAACAGCTCCCTCAGCACCTTGCCTCAGGCAATTCTGCAGCAGAGTGCCTTCAGTGAGACACTGCCCCACGAACAGCACAACCCATCTTCCAATAAGATAACCATAGCAAGTTCCCAAGGGCAGATAACAAGCATTTTCTATCAGTGCAGCATTACAGCAACTGTACCATTCAGTGAGCCACAGCCGTGCCCTCCCAACAAGGGCTAGATCTCAGGCCAGGAGGTGGGTGCTCTAAAGTGTTCTCTCTCAACCGTAAGGATAGTGTGGCCGCTCCTTATATCCACTATTTCTACATTCTTTGCAGTTCCCGTTACTTCTTACTAGCCAATCTCTCATTATTCTAATCCCTATTACAGTCAAAAACTCTTTTCATTAAACTTTTCCTGTTATAATTACTGTGATTCTCTTTTCTGATTGGACTTAAACCAATCAATGATAATCAAGGATATGCAATATAAAATCACAATATCATACATACCACTATGCACACAACAAAATGGCCAAAATTAAAAAGAATAATACCAAATAATGGCAAAGATGTGGAAAAAAGGAGTTGTCATAGTAATAAATTACAATTCCACAAGGTCATTTGGTATTATCTTGCATAGTTGAAAACAGACATAACTTTTGAAGTAGCTGACAGTTTCTGTGCTACCCCCATGCCCTCTCCAACCTCCTCACTATTTCCATATATTCCAACCTGACTTCCTCAGATGAGCACCTGCATCTTTGCTGAAGGATTTCCTCTGGCTGCTGGACCCATACTTCTTCTGTATGTGATGAGCTGAAAGTGCCTATCTATAAATCAGCATCCGCCCAGGGGTACCCCTTAGCCAATGAATGGTTTGGTAAGGGTACCCTCAAGCTTCCTTACCTCTTTGTTGGGATAATACTGAAGAATATTCCCACCCCCACCCAGTTCTTCCTTGTGGTATTAAGTACTAGTCACCCACTGTGGTAGATGACTTGATAACATACTTCTTACTGGCTACTTTCTTCTCTATACTACTCTGTCAGCACTCCTCAGCTCCCAGGTATACCACATGTGCTTGATTCTCAGTGTAAAAGCAGATACTTCTGCTTCAGGGTGATGGAGGGGAGGGTGACCAAATTAATAGTTACCACCAGGAAGCAGATCTTCAGGACAGGATTAGGATTGGATCACTCAGTGGGCAGATGGTAGACAGAATGG